CCCCGCCCTGCCCTATTTACATCCTAATAGAGGTTTTCAATAAGACTGCATCACATTCCTGTATATTTGATTATTTCAATTTGCAGGACAGGATCAAAGGCATGGGCGCATTTCCTGTTTTGCTATCTGTTTATCTGATTACTTGTTTTAATTTTAAATAAATGCGCTTCACTGTCATTTCATGGGTTTGTTACATGTCGAGTTTACTATCATGTGAAGTGATTTCTTTCTTGTAAACAATTCCATCTTTCAACTTCTGTTGTGGTTGTATTGCTTCGTTTCTTTCAGTATTTGTTTTTCTTCTTTTAAGCTTGGATACCAATGTCTTGTCGAAAGTAAACACATTATTTTATATGAATCTTATTTGGTGTGTGATCTCTGAGATAGATTCAAGTTATATTTTAATTATGAATCCATATGTTGTCCCAATCAGTGTTTTAAAAGGCGTGGGCGTAAGCCAAGGAGTTTTACATATGCATCAGCGATGCATAAGCCCGAGGCACGGGGCATAAGCCCCATATGTATTTAATTTTTAATAATTTATAAAATAATATAATTACAGTAAATATTTATAAACAAGTAAAATTGCATAAAAATGAAGAAAACTATAAATATGTGGAATATATATGTGTGTGTGTGCGCGCGCGCGCTTCATCCCCACAAAAAACTAGTCAAAACAATTTATTATACGCTACTTAGAAGCTCAAGTAACTTGAGTCGAAAAGAATAAAGTTTTCTACATGGAGGAACAAAAAGGATGACTAACCTGCAATTTGAACTTTGAACTTGCTGCTATAAAGGAGAATGGAGTTCTCTTTGTATTTGTAAAAAAAAAAATATTCGTTGTTTTTGGGAGATATTAACAGACTAGCGGAAAAGATAAAGAATTGGGAAAGACCATGAATTGGGGCTTTAATCAATAAAAAAGGTATTGACTTTTAAATTTAATACATTTCAATTCCTTTTTAAAACTTTTGAGTAATTACCAAGCTAATTTTTGAGAATTTGGGTATTATATGAAGGACTTATTCAACAATTTTGTTTTAATTTGAAAAAATCTTTAGGGCTTACGCCTCACTAAAAAAATGCGTCTCAAACGTCCGGGCGTACGCCCCAAACGCCCGGGCATACGTCCCGAATTGTTGGGCGTACGCCTCTTGAAACTTTCTCCCCACACTATCGCCTCGAGGTATTTTTGGTGCGCCTCGCCCCAGGACTCGCCCCGAAAATGCCTTTTAAAATACTGGTCTCAATTGTCCTAAAATTGATGAACCGACACCAAATGTATTATTGCGACAGTAATTTTTTTTAACATATATACGAGTTTAGACAAAACAGCGGAGAATTATTTGGATGACTTATTTTTTAATAGCCTGCTAATGATCTCTGAAAGGGGAAACAATAATTCTATGGTCAGATCTTTCCAAGTTCTGATGTTGTGCATGATTTTTGTTTCGGTAAATCCAGAAAGGAAAACTTTGTTTTTTTTAAGTTCACAGGTTCAACTGCTCTTCTTTATTAAGTAAGAAAACTACTTACTTCTTCCTTCCCAAATTATGTGACAGTGTTTGACTCAGTACGAAATTTAAAAATAAAGCAAGACTTTTAAAACTTGTGGTCTAAAATTAATCATAAATATTTATGTAAATCTCATTAATGTAAAGTAAAAAGTTTAAAGTTAAATTATTTCTAAACAAGAAAGTATAACATTCTTCTTGGGACAGAGGCAAAAAAAATGTATGACACATAAATTTGGACTGAGGGAGTACTATCTTTTAGAAAAATATTTTCCATGGAAAATATTTTTTCTTCTTACCAAACACACTCTTAGATTAATTAACTGTATTTTCTAAATCTGCATAAGCTAAATAAAATGTCCTGTCATACAAAACTAGGTTCTTTTTCCCTTCTCTTCTTTTGCTTCATGCTGCTTGCTTGGGGACCTCCCCCCCTCTGCCATTGAAACTTAGCAGGAGAATGTTGCCATAAACTCATACTTTAGATGGCATTAGCTATATCGTGGAATATTATGTTCTAAAATATACTTTAAAAATGGAAGAGCAACAAATTAAAGCACATTAACACTAAGGCGCGATTCAAATTAATGCCTCAACATCTATCATAACATGATACACAAAAACTAGTGAGGAAGAACACAAGTCTGAATTTTCAAAAAGATGAGAAGAAGAAGAAAGTTACATTACAAGAAACAGAAATGTCAGAGTCCTAGCCGCCTTGAACAGCCTTGGCCAAGCCAAAAGCAGCAGCAGATGCAACTGCTCCAATGAGTGCAGTTTGAAAAGCGCTCCTAAACGGCTTGTTTCCAGTAAAGTGACCTTTGGCGTATCCAAAGATTAGTAAGGCCAGCAAAGTTACCAACACAGAAGCGACAACAGCCTTTCTTGCGATTGGAATGAACATGTATGGGATCAGAGGGACTAGTCCTCCCAAGATGTAAGCAACGGCAATGGTAAACGCACTCTGCAGCGCTCTTCTTGGATCTGGCTTCTCTAAACCAAGTTCAAACCTGCCATTCAACATAAACTTATTACAGTTGGTCCGTGCCATGAAAAATCAAAATCGCAGACTTTATGTGATTAGAAAAAGGTAGATCTTATTATAAGCAAATCAAATAGAACGCCAAAACAACATCAACATATTCACCATTATGACAGATTAAATTTTTTATCCAATTCCATCAGGAAATGTATATAACTGAAAAGAAGAAAAAGATGATATTGGTGGCGACAATCTTCTAGCACAGACTTAAGGAGATTTCTAACGAAAAAAACTTGAAGCTTTAGACGACTTTACTGATTAAATTATCTTTTCGGATAGAAATTTACACCAGCCTGCATAGAAACCATTTAATTTTACACTCAGTTCTAAATGAAACTAGTGGCTATCATCATATTAACTTAATTATAGTACTTCTTACCATCTCAAGTAATTTCAGTTCAAACACTCTCACTATTGTTTAATTTGTTTGGTTTATTCAAAGCCTAAAGCCTCTCTGGAGCTATGATGATCAGAAAAAGCAGAAAGTTTAACTTATCCATCCTACTAGCTGAATAAAGTTGAAAAGCAGGACCAGAAAGAAGTGATCGGTCAGCTAAATACCAAACTAAATGGAGGGACCATAAAAGAAAAGCTAGAAACTATTCAAAGTGTTTGCTCCACTTTAAGTGGCCTGCCATTAAGTAGGTCGGGATAAGGTTCCCAAATCATGATTTCTTCTGTGGTCCAAAGTCAAATCTAAGATGGAACTTACATACTTCCATATCTCCTTCCTTCTCTAAGGCAATAACTACAACTACTACGCCTCAATCACAACCAAATTGGGGTCGGTTATATAAATCCTCACTGTCCATATCGCTCGATTTAAGCCCATCTCAGTCAAATATTATAAAAATCCTGCTATAAGGCAACACAAATAAAATTACATATTGAAACTTAGACTGCTGAAATCGTCAACTATCAATTAGACATTGCATGAATAAAACAACTATAACATGTATGGTAACAGAAAATCTCGACTTAGATGCATAATCAGCCAAATAGTAGGAAGAAAAAGAGAAAGTATTGATAAGACTCACTTCATCATAAAGTCAAGCCATGCCGGTGGGTTCTTCCTCAAAGCATTCACAACTGGTCCATATTCATGGGGCTGAATCCCATATTGTGACAAAATTTCTGCAATCTCCGCTGCTTCTGCAATTTATACCAAGATAACACAAGCTCTTTGTCAAACCAAGTAATTGTGCCAAATTTGCAAGTTAGAACATTTTAAAGCCTAGACATAATAACCTTTTCATTTCTTAAAAGTATTAGTTCCCTCATACACTAGTAACTAAACTTCAATCTATGTGTCATCCACGTATCCCTTCTTTCTTCCTTATATCTCCACCCATTACCAAATACAAAACTCTAGTCAGCATTATGAGGGACAGAGAGGTTAATGTCAATTTGGTACAAGTTATGTGCTTAAAAAGCTATACCATCCTGAATGTATGAAACGGATTCTTCTTTCCAAGGGGAGCCTTGGCATGACTGGTAAGTTGTTGCCATGTAATGAGGAGGTCACGGATTTCAGCCTTAGAAACAGCCTGTAAGGCTGCATACAATAGACCATTATGGTCCGGCCCTTTCTCGGACCCCTCTCCGCATAGCGGGTTGTCATTTAGTGGACGGTAAACAATGATGAAAATAACAACAACAAAAACAATAAACAAACACATTTTGAGAAAGTATAATAAATTAAATAGTCATCTCAAACTTTTAGAGTACTTAATATATAGATTTAGGTGACATGTATATAAAATAGAGTTTCTTTCCTATGCAACCACCTTTAAATGCCAGGGAAAAGAAACTCCCTTCAAATTAAACCTCAAAGATAGTTGTGCCATCACTAATGGACACACATTGCTTAGAATTGTGTCATTCAACACTCTCTCCGAATTTTTTTATTAAATGAATATAGGTACCTAATATTTTTAAAAACATATATACACACAGAACAACATTGAAAAATACTGTAAAGTAAACATCAGTTTGAGATGGATTAACACCGCTTGCACAAAATTATGTGTAAGTGAGTATGTGCCATGAGAAGTTATACCTGTATCTGGTACAGAAATGATCTCTTCTTCCTCCCTCTTAAGCTCTCTCATATAGTGATCAGCCTCACTCTTGGCAGCCAAGTAACTGTAAATTCACGTAAAAAGAATGAACCAATGATTAACATAAAACTTTAATCAAGTAAAAGGAAGCTATTCAAGTACTTGTACATCAACCAATCAACTAAAACTCAATACCACACCAGTAGACAAATTCTCTAAAATATAAATTCCATTAGGAGTCATGTAAAAACACATTTTTTAACTATGGTGGTGATGCGGGCACCTCGATCGGTTATTCTACCTAGCTTCCACCAGCACAAATATTGAATAATTCTACTCACCAAGTCTTAAACAAATGAGAAAAAATTATTTAGCGTTTTTGTCTCGGCTAAGACTTGAACCTGGTCTCTCATGATGTTCCCCACATTATTGACCGTTAGGCCTTAAACATGAACTTATTCTCTTGCTATTATTACTGCTCGTTACTATTACTTTCTTTTCATCTTTTCTTGAGATCTTTTCTTGAGCCGGGAGTCTTCTAAGTAGGGGTAAGGTTACCTCCCAAACCCGTCAGATTATACTCCTTTTTTTGTTGTTGTTGTTGTAGGCCTTAAACATGAAAAAACACATTTGTTACTATAAAGATTCATTATAATTCAACTACTTTAGACGGATTGTTAACCAATCACAACTCTCATCTTATATGAATTTTGAACCAACTACATGTAAACATAAATTTTTATTTTAAAAAAAAAAAGAAAAAGAAAAAGAAAAAAGAAAGTGGAGTAATAAAAGAATACGTACCCTCCAAGTCCCATGGAGATGGCACCAGCAGCAACCTCAGCAATACCAGCAGTAAGAATAATAGAGGAAGACGCATTTGCCCCTGATAGCCCCGCCGCCAATGCAAACGGCACCGTTAGTCCATCGGAGACTCCGATGATTATGTCCCGGACAATCTCGCCGGCGGTGAAATGTTTCTCCTTGTGTTGATCCAATAAAGATTTCTCAGATTCATGAGCCATGTTGATGCTGGTTGTTTTTACTTACTATATTCTAGTTTCTACTAAAATGAATCCGCAAAAAACCTGTTTAATTAATTTCCGTTGTGGTTCTTTTTCTTTGCTGTTGTTCTTGTATATATAGGGGAACAGAAGTGGAGGTGGAAGATGATCGTTTTACGTTTGGCCTTTTATGGAAGCAGGTAAGGTTCTGGTTTCATAATCAGACTGAGATTCTTGGGACAGAGAACTAATTTATAAGTATTTTATATAATTAAATATTTTACTAAAAATGCTTAGTGTTACCCAAAAAATAAAGAAAAAAAGATATATTTTGCACCGTTTCATGTGATATTTTGACCTCAAGAATATTGTAATATCTGGAATTAGATTAGTAAATCATGTGATATTTTTATGTAAATACTTATGATTGTATTTATTGGATTGATCCTAGTGTTAGTATATTTCTGTCACATATTCTATTAATCAATTTGATTCCAAAAATTTCTGATTCTTCCAAAAAAATTCTTGTCAAACGAAAAAAGATCTAAATATTACTTCTTCTCAATTTTGATTACTAGTTCTAAGATACATTTATAGCTTATGATCTATAAAATTCCAAAATAATGCTATTATGTTCCTGTTTATGGTTTGTCTCCTTTTATCCTTTTGTCTTTTTGTTTTCTTGAGTCGGGGTCTTTCAGAAAGTCTCTCTATTCCTTCGGGGTAGGGGTAAGATCTGCGTGCACACTACCCTCCTCAAACCCCATTAGTGAGATTTTTCTGGAGTGTTGTTGTTGTTGTTGTTACTTTTTATGATTTTCAAGTTGGAAAATTAAAATATGAAAAAAACAAAAAAAATAACAAAATAACTTGATACTTTTAAAATTTCGAAATAGAAAATAGTGTTGAAAATTAGATATTCCAAATTTCCTGCTCTATCTGAACCTATTTACTTTTTAGTCTGTTCCAAAAAAATAACTTATTTCTAAATTTGGTAACAATTTAATGTAAACTTACAATTTTACCCTTAATGAGAATCTTTTACCCTTTTTGACTTGTTTAATACTATAAATTTCAAAAAAAATTATTTTCTTCTTAAATTTAGTGTCTAGTTAAACAGGTTCATATAAATTAAAACGGAGAGTATAGTATAGTGGCAACTGGCAACTTTAGAGGCAAAAAACCCCTTTTCTTCTTTCCCCACCCAACCCAAAAAGATTTGGGCAACTCGACATTTGTCCTTATTTCACCATGCGCAACATTATTGGCAAAAAGATTAGATAAAAAGTTATACTGCTATTCAAAAAGAAGAATGATACTCGTACTATTAAAAGACAACAGAATAGAAAAAGAAAACAAAGTACACAACCACTAACCTGCCATCCATACATCCTTTTTATTATTTATTATCACTTCCTTATCGACAAGGATCGTAACGAGATAGATATATAATTTCTCGACTATTCGAGTTTAAGAATAAAAAAAAATTAATAAAAAGCTTTCTTCTTTAATAAATTTTATGTGATACGAATTTGAATTAGTCGAGACTTCAATACCAACGGTGAGATGAAAAGTAATTAAGAAAATATGACTTTCTTTATTTTACAAATTTTGGAGTATACTCTACCACACTAGTTAGTATATATTTTTAGATTTATCTGGAACAAAAGTTAACTTTAAACCCCCCCCCCCCCCCCCC